ACTCACGAGAAATATTTTCAACAGTGTGATAGGATGAGAAATTTGAGTTATCAAATTCTTTACCATGGTTGCTTCGAATGTCAAAGAGTCTCAAAAACAACGAAGGTGTCATACTTCTCATGAATTAACTCAAAATAGGTGTATATCTCGAATAGTCATCAACTCAGACAAAAACATATCTCTTTACTCCAAAACTTTAAACTTTCATGAAACCCATAAGATTCATATAAAGAAACTCAATAATGTGAGTAGTGGAAAGACGTTCCACCATCTTGGGAGACATCTTGGTTTGCTTCCCAACATGTCAGTCTTAACAAATTTAGACATGCTTACAATATGGTTCTTATAACAAATAGTTTGTTTGATGGCATATTAAGTGTGACTTAATTGTGAGGTCTTATTAAACATAAAGACGTTATTTTTAAAGTATATGTAGTTAAGCTTTACTATCATATATGACAACAGTGATTCATATAAACTATTATGTTAGTAGACTAATGATCGTATCTCACGGGTCATGGTTATGAGATATCAAGTCTTCACATATGTATAAATATTAGGAGTAATATTTATATTGGATTGACTCATCATGATAATACTACTTAGTTTATTATGTAAGTGTCATAAGTTATTCTCATAATGATAATGGTGTATACCATCTTTCGATCTGAAATAACTATGAATCCTAGATGTGGAGTTGAGTATTTTATTGTCAGTCAAACATTGTCTGTAACATGATGACTATAAAAATGGTTGATGGGTACTCCACAAATCATGCTAAGAGACATGAGTGACCTAGATGAGATTCATCATTCCTACCTATACATGAGTAATATATGTGGGTCCTTTTGATCGAGTATGACTGTAAAATACATGGTCATTCTCAAATAAGTCAATATGAGACGTTGAGCATATTTGTTCTCGTCACTTGGGTAGTAGTTATGTGTTGCTAGATACCACTCATTATTTATAATGTTAAACAAGTTATGTAATATTATTGTCAACGTTACGAGAAACTAAGGGGTCACACGCCTAGAGTATTGATAGTGGAATGAATTATTAAATTAAATAAGATTTAACTTAATTATGTGTTAATAGTATTTAAATTAATTTGATATGATAACACATATATAATGTTTTTGATTAAATATAATTTAGTTAAACAAATGAGTATTGATAGTTAATTAAATTAAATATGATTTAGTTTAATTAATATTTTATTTTATTTTATTAAAATATTTTAATTAAATATAAATAATATTTTATTTAATTAAAGTGTTTAATTAAATATGATTGAGCTTATTTTTAAAAAGACCAAAATAAGAGCATTAAGATTTTATTAGCTCTCTAAATAGAGAAGATTTTTCCCTTGCAATTCTAATGGCTATCAGTCTTAGAAAAAGAAAAAGCTAACACCACGTTCAACTTTGTAATAGCGTGGATTTTGTAGAGACGATAATATTTTACACGTTTGTGATTAAAGTTAAAGCACGCTTCAAAAAGTGATTCATAATCATTATTTTGTATTTGATTTTTGATTAAAGGTTTTATCAATATTCGTTCATCGAGATTGTTCCGCTAAAATTATTTTTTTAAACCCCTCTTAAATTCCTTCAGGTCTCTTGGAGACAGGAGTAACGTTCGGCCGAACTTGGATGAATCACTAAGGCAATATTTCTAAACCCTTTATCTCTTTATTTTTTTAATTTACTTTATTGCTTTACATTATGCTTCTCATTTTACTCTGATCTTAATGAATACTACCACATTTTGTTGTTTAAGTAACAAAACCATTAAATTAATTGTAAATTATAAATACCACAAATCACCCCCATATTGTTCTTGAAGTCACTTAAAACTCTTTAGAAGCCCATATTTTTTATTAAATCACCAACAAAATGTTTGTTAGGCCTAGCTAGATGATTAGGATAATGTTTGATTGGTTCATGGAATTTTTCTAACTGCCTAGTCGATTATACTACATGCCTAGTTGAATAGATCATGTTTGGTTGAGTCTAAAATTGATTGGTACAATATCTTAATGATTGGTAATAACTTTATATCAAAATCTTTCATTTGTGGTCTTAGCAATCGATTATTTAGGTTGCCTAATTGACTAGCCTAAACCATTAGGACATTGAATAGGCCCATGGATTATTTTCAAATTTATACCACACCTTGGTTTGTAAATAGAGAGTTTTCCAATCACTTTTTCATATCCAAAAAACGTGAAAAATATTTACTTTTCATTTCTCTCATAATCTATCTAAATCTCTCATATTTCCTCATATGTTTTAGTCATAGTGCTTTAAGAGTGTTATTGCGTCTAAGTGAGGATATTTGTTCTTGGTGAGGGAAAATTATAAATTTACTAAGTGTATATTTCTCTTGTGTAAATAATTATTCCATAGGACGTTGATGTTTTTGGTTGTGAGCTAAATCAATTAAAAGCTCTTGTTTGTGTTTGAGAATTGTCTTATGAAGTTTCCATTCGGTTTGTGGGCTCCGCTATTGAAGAAAAAGTTTTCCTTTGGTTCGTGAAGACTAGCCAATGAAAATATCTACAACGATTCTTAAACTCGGCTCAATTAAAAGCTCTATCGATTCGAGATTATTCTGATTAAAATATCTCTTGGTTTTATAGTTTAGCCTGGTGTAAAAGCTCAGTAGGTTTGAGATCAGCCCGATTAAAATCTTTGTTGGTTTATGAGGTTAGATTGGTTAAAAACTAAGTAGGTTCGAGATCATCTATGTAAAAATCTCAGCTCGACTTGTGGTTATTGTGTGTAAAACCCCAGTTTGGTTCGAAGGATAACCAACTGAAAAATCTATCTTGGTTCGAGATCAGCCTGTGCAAAATCTCTGTTTGGTTTGAAGACTAACCACTTTAAGCCATGTTCGTTGTTTATTTAGAAGTTAACATGAAAACTTCATTTCCTTATATAAGGGGGATCGTGGGCACAACCTTCTATAAACTCTCAGGTCTACTGGATACTCTCAAGAACAATTCTTGGGGACATGAGTAGATCTTCTTAGCCGAATATATATATAATTCTCTAATGTTATTTCACTTTCCTTAACTCTTTTACTTTCCAGTATTTTTCTTTCCTTTGGTTTTTTGCTGCGTATTTAATCCAAATTTTTTCAATCTCTTTTTTTACAAATGATTTTGTTTTAAACCAAAGTTTTTTCAAACCCCTAAAATTCACCCTCTATTGTGTATGAAGTCACATGTCTAACAGATTAAACTCAACAATAGTTTCCTCCTCAAACATCTTCATGTTTTTAAATTTGGTAATGATGAGTTGAAGCCTTGGCATCCGAACTTTGAAAGTTCTCTCATAATCCACTTAAAGAGTTTTCCATACCTCTTTAGCACTAATACAAGTGTAAAGAATCTTGAAACTGTTCTTATAAACTCCATTGTAAATAACATTAAGAGCACAAAAATTTCCATTGATAACTTCATCTTCAGCAGGTTCACAATCCTTTTCATGTTTCAAATATTTAGAACCATCGCCAGCTTTGATAGTAGGAGGTGTTCATCCATTGGTAACAAACTTACAGGTCTTGTTGTTCGTGGACTTGTGAAAAGAAATCATGTGATTCATTAAGTAGTCATAATTTGTTCCATCAAGAATTAGTGGACGGTTAACAAATCCTCTTTTTTTTATATATTTTCCATCTTAAATAGAAAAGGTTAGTCACACTAGAAAACACCCAAACAAAATAGGGTGTTATGCTCACATGTCAAATAAAATTTTGTTTAATCATAGACAATATGTCGCACATAATGTTGATTTAATATGTGAGACAGTATAGTCTAAGATAATAGATGAATGATTGAATAAAGTAATAAATAAAAGACACAATAAATGTTCAACTCATTCGGTGCAATTATCATGTACGATTGGAAAGTAGAGCCTAGTAAAAGAAAATTCATTAATAATTAGTCAATACCACACGTCAATCTTATCTAAACTATCCATAGCTCATATCTTTTTTTTTCTAATACTATCCGCTCTAATACTATCCGTGAATTTCAACTCAAACTTTTCGTAAATTTGAGATTCTCTTTCTTTCATTCACACACTTTCTCAAATGTTTGTAATTCTTCATCACTAAGAACGTGATAAATTTCACGAAAGAAAAACACAAATTTATCTCTTAAAGAATGATAGAAAATAACATATAACATAATTGAACATAATCAAGAAACCCATGTTTCATAATCAACAAAACATTTAATACAAGTCCATGTGATGATAATATATTTTCTCTCTTAACCAATTTGGTAAGCTGGTCTATTAGATTTTCACAAACAAATCTATAGCATATCCACTCTTGAACAAAATAAATCACGTTGAATAAAAAAACATATTATCATTTATTCTCAAATGTCCGCGCATAATTGAAAATAAAATAAAAAATCTTTCTAAAAATATTCAAGTAATAGATTGATTTTAAACTTTCTCACTATGGAGCTCAGCACTAAAAACTAACAAACTAGCTCTCTATATTTCTACATTCCAATTGGGTCTGTGAAACAATATTCAACTAATAGATTGATTTTAACAGAAAATGAGATAAACAAAAATCAGTTAACATTGAAGCAGTTTATGATTTTGAATTTATGAGATTGAGTTTAAAATAAAAAGATGATAGAGAATAATATAACATAAGAGAAGATTCGAAATTGGAGTCAAAATTCAACAATTTTAAAATAAATCATTGTTTACATATTTTGGAAAATAAGCTTGAGATTCGCAGAAGATACATGTGTGTGAAAGTGATTCACCAAACTCGTCTTTTTCAGTCTACTCTCTATTAAAGTAATATTTTTCTTGTTATAAATCTATGCAATAAATTAGAAACAACAAGAAATCGTTCGTTCAATTAATCTAGTTAAAAGACATTATAACAACATTTCACATTCTTTTCTTCAAAATGTGATTATTATTTAGAGAAATAGAAAGAAGGGAAAAGGGTGATCATTTCCTTCACATGCCACCATTAAGCCTTTGAAGTTTAAGAGACTCAAGCTCTTCAATGATTTGCATCAAATTGGTATGAGAAGACCCACCAACAAGTATAGCTTTCTTTGAATCCTCACTCAAAGCTTTGGCTCTTGATCTCATCTCATTAGCTTCTTTTCCATTTCCCATCACCAAACCAACAGCCTTTCCAATATCTTCCCTTTTCACAACATCATTCCCCATGTCATCCCATTCTCTCCATTTTCTAACTCCAACTGATACCCCAACCCCCAATACTTCAACCAGTAGTTTCTCATGAAAAAATTGTTCCGCAAACAAAGGCCAAGTCACCATTGGCAACCCAACATTAATGCTTTCCATTGTTGTGTTCCAACCACAATGAGTCACAATGCCTCCAATGGCTTTGTTTTCAAGTATCAACAATTGTGGGGCCCATCCCCATATCAAATACCCTTGATTGCTTTCTTTCACTCTCTTCTCAAACTCTTTCATAAAACCTTCTTCCCCTTCACTGCCTCCAACATCACTATTTTTACCAACCACCCAAACGAAATCATGTGTTGAAGCTTCAAGTGCGTGGGCAATTTCAATAAGTTGAGATGTTAGAAACTTATTTATGCTACCAAAACTCACATAGATAACAGAATTCTCTTTCTTTGAGTTAAGCCATTGAAGCAAAACATCTCCTTCTTCTACTTTTTCGTCTCCTCTTTCTGCCTTATCAGATAGATCTTGGTTTGCCCAAAATGAAACCGGTCCTAAGCTCCAACACTTTGTCCCAAACACAGTCTTGTAATGCTCCTCATAAGCACCCTCCAAATCATAAAAGCTATTGAATACTGCACCATAGCTACTTTTAGTTGAATCATCGACCACCTTCATAACAAATCATCGGTAATTAGCACAACATCTTAGTACTTAATTATGAATTAAAATTTGAATTAATAAAAGTGATTACCTTCATTATGGATCTAAACTCAGTTGGCTTTGCTAACCAATCTGCTAATTGCATTCTAGCTATCTCCAACTTATGGGGCAACCCTACGATCATGACTTTTTCATATTCAGACTTCCCTTCGGTGTGAGCTGTATGTTGCATAAACGAGAGCTCTGCACAACGAGAAAAAATACTTGAAGGACAGAATACAAATCTTGGAACGCCTAACTTGGCTGCTGTTTCGACGCTCCAAGTGTAAAACATGTCACTAACTATGCAATCAACTTCAAATAACTTGTCAAACAAGTAATTCTCTATTTGTGGTCGTAGAAGTTGACACCCCTCAAGGATTTTTATGGCTGTCTCATAAGGAGTATTAGCGTTGACGGTTTCTAATCCTACCGGAAGCCCGACTTGTTTGGCTGGGAATTCCAAGATCTGCATTTTTATGCATCGACCATGGCTGATGTCACGCTCGATGCATTTCTGAAAAATTCCGGTGTTCCCTGCTGTGGTGAATATGGTGATGTTTACACCATGCATGGCAAATATCCTTGCCATGTCGATCATTGGGATGGTGTGACTTGTAATAAAAATAGGAAGGAAAATAACCTCGAGGTTATTGGCTTTTGCTCCTCCATGAGACAACATTATATGACGATCAACGAGTATTGCCAAGAAAATTTAGGGTGGTTACTAACTCCTTCTCTTCTTTACAAGTTTACTACTAAATACTTATAAGCAAGACTTGAGAAAAGTGATTCTCAGATATTTTTATTTTAAGAGAGAGAGATAATCACAAATTTATGAGGCGGATTAAAAGTGGGTAGGTGCATTAATGTGGTGGGGGAAGTGGATGAGATGTTGGATCTGTGGTTGTAATTGAAGATAAATTTTGGGAAGGATTTGAGGGGATAAGAGAGAATCAAAAGTAAATATGGGGGAGTAAAATGGGTCCCACGTTAGGTGGAGACGTTGGCATGAAATTTTGAAAATTAAAGTTAATCATTTATAAAAGAAGTACTCATTTTTATAAAAGTTTGTGCAACTACTCCATTGAAAATTCAACTGTCAGATGTATTTTTAAAGAAGTAATTTCTTAATATAAGAGTCCATAAAGTAGGAAATGAGAAAGCATTCTCTTTACATTTCTTATCTAGTTGACATAGCTATGAATACCCTTTAATTTTTTTATATATAATGATTAAATAAGACTATATTATAAAACATCAATAAAGAATAAGGGTAATGTTAACTTGTGTCTTTGAAGTACATGTTAAGAAAACTATTTTTAGTAAATTTATATTAGAAAAAACAATTTAAAAATTATTTTTATACTTTAATTTAAATTTGTACACAATTTTCAAGATGATATTTCTTAATTTAGTTCTTAACATGTGCCCCAAGAGCACAAGTTAACATTACCCAAAAAATAATAAATTTATAAGTTTTAAACACTAATAAGAGTTTAATTAAATATAAATATAAATACTACAAATATAAATTACAAAATAGTTTAAAAAATTAAACATAAATTTATGGATGTCCAAGCTACTACAACAATCAACACCAAACTCAATTACTTACTCAGAATCTGTAAAAATATTTCACAAATTAAAGCTGCTTCAAAAATCTATGAATGATTTTTTTTTAACTTAGAAAGAATTCATAAATGATTTGAAGATAAAATCCAAATCGTTTGTCTTTCTCTCAAAAGTTATATGAAAAAATTGATTTATTAAAGAAACTCAAAAACGTATTAAAATATTAAAATAAATTTAAGTCTCAAATTGATTAAAAATACAAAAGATTTATATAAAATGACATTCTCACTTTATCAACAGATTTTATAGGATTAGATTAGATCAAACTCTAATTCTATTATAATATCACGAGTCTATCGATTTAGACCACAAATCATATCTCATATATCAATAATTCGGATCACCCACCGTTTACATCCACGCATCAAACTCAATAGCATTAAAAATGAAGAGATGTATTAAAAAAAAAACTCAAATTTCACATTGATTAAAAATTCTAATTTCCTCAAAAAGTAATATTGAAACAGAAATTAAAAAAATGCAAACAAAAATTGAGAAAAAAAAAGATTTTATCTCTATTTATTTTATTGGAAAAAAAGTGAAAGAAAGAAAATAAGTATCTCTGATAATTGTTTTACCTCTTTGAAATTGACAAGAAATCACAGAAGAAAAAAGTCTTAACACGTCTTAAAACCAACATGTCTTTTTTTACTTTTGTAGCAAAATGATGAAACAGATTATCGGAGGAGATCCGAGCAACGGAACCATAAGATCCCCCACCAAAACCACCTCCATTTTCAACTGGTTTTATTATTTTAATTTTGGTTTAGAAGGATTAAAATTTTGAATTTTAAAATAAGTAGACTAAAATTCAAAAAAAAAAAAATATATATATATATATATATATATAAGAATTAAAATTTCGGATTTTAAAATAAAATAATCAAAATTTAAAAAAATAAAAATAGAAAAATAATGAGTACATATACCCAGTACCTAAAATGCATAATAGATGGAAAATGCTAACAATAAAGCGACGTGGCGGTATAACAACTCTTATTAATGTCTATGCAAGTTAAGAGTCACACATTGTATATAATATAATCTAAAAATGTGTTTACAAGCTAGAGCCTCTCACCCATACAAATGATAAGCAGCTCATTTATATAACTTTTCTCGTAAAAATAATCATTCTATTAACAAAAGAACATTATATTGTTGTTATCATGTATTAGGCTGTATTTATTAAGGCCAAACTGCTAGTTTATAGCAGATGATTTATAAAATACAAATTCTTATAGTAGAGTAGTTTAGAAACAGTCATTCACTCAAGGGCTTATATCATTTTTTTCAAATGCTACTTGAGCTTATAGCTTATTGCATAACACTCCTTCTCACATTTTTATGCTCAGTATGTTAGTTAAATTCAAATCAGTATGTTAGTTAAATTCAAATCAGTATGAGGGAGCGCAAAAGTCAGATGCTTTTGGGCAGCCAAATAATTCCTAGGGACCTACTGGCGTTAATTGTCATAGCATTTAATATTCTCTATCTTGTAATCTCTATATAAAAACAAAATGTAAACACATCAAATTAAGACATTTGAAATACAAAGAGAAGTTCTGAGATTAACATCCTCTCCGCCATTTCATAAGTTTCATTTGTCTTCAATTTGGTATCAGAGCTCATGGCGAGCCTGACGAGTCAAATGCCACTGCCACGGCTATCAAAATCCAATTATGAGAATTGGAGCATCCAGATGAAGGCGCTTCTGGGTTCATTGGATGTATGGGAAGTGACAAGCGATGAGCTTGAAGAACCAGCAAACATAACTGGGTTTACAGCTGCCCAGAACAAGGCGTTGAAAGAGACGCGGTCGAAAGACAAAACAACATTATACATGTTGTTTAGAGCAGTGGACGAATCAACCTTCGAAAAGATTGTTGGTTCGACGACATCGAAAGAAGCATGGGATACGCTAGAGAAAGCGTTCAAAGGAGCTGACAGAGTTAAGCAAGTTCGTTTGCAAACTCTTCGAGGAGAAATGGAGAGGATGAAAATGAAGGAGACAGAGTCCATGTCTGACTATATTACGCGTGTGCAGATTGTTGCAAACCAGCTAAATCAAAATGGAGAAGTAATGACAGATGCTCGAATTGTAGAAAAGATACTGAGATCTTTAACAGACAAATTCGAAAATATTGTGTGTGCCATAGAAGAAGCGAAGGACCTTTCGACAATCACTGTTGAAGAAGTTGCTGGGTCACTCGAAGCCCATGAGCAACAAAAATAAAAGAAGAAAGAGGAGGCAGTTGAGGAAGCAGAATCTAACAAAGAAGGAAAGGCACTCTTCTCTCAAAATTGGCGTGGGAGAGGACGTGGCCATGGAGGACGGGATGGTGGTCGAAGCTATCAAAACAATAACTTCGACAGAGGACAGTCAAGTCAACAAAACTGGCGCGGTAGAGGACGAGGTCAAAGAGGTGGCGGGTCGAATTACAACAATGTCGAATGCTACAAGTGTAACAAACAGGGACATTACGCGAAGGACTGTAACTCCTACAGTTGCCACAACTGTGGAAAGATGGGACATCTTGCAAGAGACTGTCGATCGAGAAGAAGAGTTGAAGAAACAACGAATTTTGCCTTAGAATCAGAATCGAATGAAGGAGTCTTGTTGATGGCTCAGAAGGAGGAAGATGCAGAGTGTGACATACTGTGGTACCTTGACTCAGGTGCAAGAAATCACATGTGTGGTCACAAACACTTATTCAAAGAAATGAAGAGTGTGGAAGATGGACATGTTTCATTTGGAGATGCCTCGAAGGTAAATGTCGAAGGAAAAGGAACAATATGTTTCTTGCAGAAGAATAACGTAGTAGGATCAATCGAAGGGGTGTACTATGTACCAAATCTCAAAGCAAAACATTCTGAGTTTGGGACAACTTACAGAGAAGGGGTATTCGATACTCATGGAAGATCGAAACCTACAGTTGAAAGATAAGACAGGACATCTAGTTGCTCTAGTCGAGATGGGAAAGAATCGAATGTATAAGCTGAATCTGAAAAACATTCGAGAAAAATGCTTGCATGTTAATGTCGAAGACCAAGCATCTCTGTGGCACTTGCGTTTTGGTCATTTGCATCAAGATGGGCTAAGAAGATTGGCGAAGAAGAATATGGTGCATGGACTGCCAGATGTCGAGTTCGATGGAAAATTTTGTGAAGACTGTGTGTTTGGTAAACAAACAAGAACATCATTTCAAAAGAAGGCAGAGTATCAGGCTAAACACATTTTGGAACTGATTCACACTGACATATGTGGTCCAATCACTCCGGAATCTTTCAGTGGCAAGAAGTACTTCATTTCTTTCATTGATGACTATTCAAGGAAGACTTGGGTGTACTTTCTGAAAGAAAAATCAGAGGCATTCGAAACGTTTAAGAAATTTAAGGTGAAGGTGGAGAAAGCAATTGACAGAAGCATCAAAACCCTTCGATCAGACAGAGGTGGAGAGTATACTTCGACATCCTTCATGAAGTACTGCGAAGAACAAGGCATAAGGAGATTTATGACTGCAGCGTACTCACCTCAACAAAATGGAGTAGCTGAAAGGAAGAATCGAACAGTCCTTGACATGGTTCGATTAATGCTTAAGAGTAAGAACATGTCGAAGGAATTTTGGGCAGAAGCTGTGCAATGTGCAATTTATGTTCAGAACAGATGTCCACATTCGAAGCTAGGAGACTTAACACCTCAAGAAGCTTGGAATGGACAGAAGCCAACAGTATCTCATTTTAAAGTATTTGGAAATGTGGCTTATGCACATGTGCCAGATCAGAAGAGAACGAAGCTGGAAGACAAAAGATAGAAGTACATACTCATCGGGTATGATGAAAAAACGAAAGGCTATAGACTCTTCGACCCAATAAACAAGAAGGTGATAGTAACCAGAGATGTTCGTGTGAACGAAGCAAGCAGATGGGACCGGAACAATTCGAAAGAGGTAGTTGTCGAAACCGAAGAATCACCAACTGCTTTACCATTAAGCACTTCGACAGAACTTGAAAACTCTGATGATGAAAGTGAGCCCTCTCAACCCAGAT